ATGGTGGCCTGTGGCTGGAGTGTGGGGGTGTTGTCATGACACAACTGTGCCAACTGTGGTGGCACAGGGGTGGCTGGGAACAGAGGCTTGCATTGCTCCCTAGGCACTGCCCTTACCAGCAAAGTGGTTGGCAGAGTCCTGCATTAGTATACAGCTCCATAGCTGTCACACACTCTGAAAGTGTGGGGTACCCTTCTCTACTTCACCCTACACCCATTGCAGATGCTTGTCAGTCCTCCAGTCTCAACAGTTCTGCACAGGTTACTGTCTACCTGTGTCAAAGGCATTTCCTATGATATTATTAACTAGTATCTATAGGTGGGATGAAGGTGTAGAGATTTAATTGCTTCCTAATCTTAGATGTGGTCTCTGCAAAATGGCTGCCTGGCACAGTTCTCTGCCAGTGAATTGAGAAAAAATGAAGCATTTCTTGTTTACAAGGTAGCTTTGAACTCCTGTCCTAACTTAACTCAGTCTTTCTTCTCTACCACTGTTTTGAAAGTAAGCTTGCCATCTTTGCCTCTTCTTTCTGCCTTTGTTATTCCTCCCCCCAGACCTGTCCTGATAGTGCAGATGCTTATTCATGGTTAACAAATACTTCCCTGTTTTCTCTTCCAGTAACCAAATTTTTCAGGTCCCTTAAAGTCTCTAACCTTCCAGTTATTGTGAATCAGTGCATTCTGTCACCCACCTCTGATCAGCTAACTATTGAGGACTATTCAGGTTGTTTATGTTTTGCTATTATAAGTAATACAGTGATGAAAAACTTTGTACATGTGTTATTTTGCATATTTGTGTATAAAATCTATAGGATAAAATCCTTCCCTGAAATTGTTGGGTGAAAGGAATATATATTTATAATTTTGGGGTTATTTCTAAGATGTTATTTTCTGTTGTTGCAGCATAAGCAGTTTTATTTTTTTATTCAAAACACTATATATTATTTTCAGTGGCATAGAATTTTATTTATTTTTTGATGTGTTTAATGTTTTCTACAACTTTCCTATTATTGGAATTCCTCAGTGCTTAACATTTTTACTATTGTAAGTGATTCTAGAATTGACATCTATATAGTTTAAACCTTTTTGCATTTTGAATTATTTTCTTTGATCAGTTTTCCAGAGAGAAACTTACTGGGCTGAAAAATGTAAAACATTTTAAGTATTTAAAAAGAATAATACATATCATCTCAGTTACTTTTGAAGCTTATCAGTTTGTGTACTCAGTGGTATCTTATTAGTAATTTTTATTCTAAAACAGTCTCAGTTTACTGAAAACTTGCAAGTACCACATAAAGAACTTTTTCCCCCCAGGCTGGAGTTGTGGCTCAGTGGCAGAGCGCTGGGTTTGATCCCCAGCACCACATAAAAATAAATAAACAAAATAAAGATATTATGTCCATCTATAACTTTAAAAAATTTTTTTAAAAAGGAACTTTTTCCCCTCATATTGTTTTGATATTAAGTTGCTAATCTCATGTTCCATTAGTCTTAACACTTAACTGTGTTTTCCAGAAAAGAGAGAAAAAAATAGTCTATGATATAACTAGAATGTAGTTTTTAAAAATGGAAAGTTAAGCCAGGTCCAGTGGCACATGCCCATAATTCCAGTGTCTTGAAGGCTAAAGCAGGAGGATCTCAAGTTCAAGGTCTGCCTCACCAAGGGCCTGTCTCAAAAAACAGATGAAGAAATAGCTCAATATAGAGCACCCTTGAGTTCAATCCCCTGTACCACTAAAAAATAAGGAAAGGAAATTAATTTGACACATTATCATCTAATATTCAGACCTCATTTAAATTTTACCAATTGTCCCAATTGTTTCCTAGTTTATAACAGAAGGATCTAATTCAGAATCATGTGTTACATGTACTTGCCTGTGGCTCTTTAGTTTTCCTCAATCTTTGAGAGTTCCACAGTCTTTCCTTAATTTTTTAAATATTAACACTTGTGAAGATTGTAGATGAATTATTTGGTGATATTTCCAGCAATTTTAGTTATCTGATGTTTACTTCTGATTAATTCAGGTTATACATCTTTGTTGGGAATGTTATAGAATTGATGCTTAATTCTTTTGTTGATCCTTATCAGGTGGTACATGATTTTGATTTGTTCCATTGATGGTGATGATCACTTTGGTCATGTGATTATGTCAGGTTTCACTGTAGGATTATTTGTTAGGTTTCACTGTAAGATTATTCTTTCTTCCTTTTCTAAGAAGAATTTTGTGGATAATTACTTTGAGTCATCAAACTTCATATCTATCCATCCGTCTATCTGTATCCGTAGTGACTCACTATTACTTAATTTATTTTATAGATTATATGCCTTACTCTGTTAGTTTCTTTTGTCTTAAAAGAACACAAATTTATTGTCTTCTTGTTCTGTAAATTAGAAATCTGACACAGGTCTTTTGGGCTGAACTCATAGGCTAAAATCAGGTCTGTGTTCCTTTCTGGAAACACAAAGGAGGAATCTGTTTCCTTGATCCCCACCCCCACTCCCACACCTTAGAGGCTAACTGTATTCTTTAGTCCATGGCTCCTTTCCTTCTTCAAAGCCAGGGACTTGTGAGTTGAGACCTTCTCACATTGTATCATTGTGGCCTTTGTTCATCAGTCACATCTTTCACTGGTCTTTTTCTGCCTCTCCCTTTCACTTCTAATGAAATTTAGTGATTACATTGGGCCCATTAAATAATCCAGAATAATCTTATTTAAGTTCAGTTGATTAGAAACTTTAATAGTCATGTAACCTTACAGATTCTTTGAGGGGTATTATTCTGCCTAGCTCATTGTCATTATTTGTTTTGATATTAAAATTGTACTAGCTTTGGCCAGCAGGAATTCCTTTACATGTTTGTATCTTTTGTCATGTCTCCATCATTCTTGGAGCACCTTCTTGTTTTCTGGTATAATAAGATTACAGACTGACCTTGAACTTTTCCTATCACAGCTTAACAGCTGTGTCCCTAAAGAGCCCTGGTTCCTTTTTCTCGAATGATATTTTGAAGTCCCCAAATCTGTGCTTTAGATTTCAAATATTTTAAGTCCATTGTTTTTGGGGTGTCACCATCCCCAGTCCTCTGTGCACAGACCTACAAAATGTATGTTTGTATACATACCCATACACACACACACACATACACCTGTTTGTTTTCTGCCTGCCTGCCTAGCTGCCTACCTATATCTGTCCATCTAGATATTGAATTTATTTATACTGATACCTCCAATTCTAACACTACAGGTTGTTCTAGCATTTGTAATTCCCCTTTGTGACATTGAGAAACCTGTTTCCCACTATCCTTACCATGTTTTCTTTTTTGTTCAAACCCTCCACATGTAATCCATCTTCCATTGTCACCTTTCCTCCATACTTATGCCGTCCATACTGCAAGTAGTTCTGCCATCACATACTGGCTCTTGCTGGACACTCTTCTCACTTTTTTCAGGCTTAGGCATCTCATGCCAGGCTACAGGGTGCCTCCTTATCCTTTGACCAGGTGCTCTTCCCCAGGATTTCTCTTCAGTTATGCTCAGACTTTGTACCTTTATGCTGGATTGATCCTCCATGGGGACTGATCCTCAACCTGATTAGGTTTTTTAAAAATTTGTTTATTATTTATTTATTTATTTTTGTTGATGGGCCTTTATTTTATTTATTTTATTTTTATGTGGTGCTGAGACTCATACCCAGTGCCTCCCACATGTTAGGCAAGTGCTCTACCACTGAGCTACAACCCCAGCCCCTGGTTAGGTTTTGACTTCTCCATGTGGACATACTCTTCATCCTTCCTGAGCTCTGGTACAGAATACCCAGAGCTCTCTGAGGTTCCATATTCTTTACTCTTCTAAAACTAACATTCTAACAACACTTTATTCTGTTTATTTTCAGAACAAATTAACTTCATACCCTGCTTGGGGCTCTAGCTGATCCTTCATGGGACTCCCTTTCTAACCTTACCTTAGAACTGAGGCCTTCTGTCCCTGCTTTGTAGACACTGTTCTCATTTTGCTTAGGTTCTGGTCTCTCCTTTTTCCCTTCCTCCCTCCCTCTGCCTGCCATGCTTGCCTTCTCTCTCTTACTCTCCCTCCCCTCTCTCCCTCCCCTCTCTCCCTCCCTCCTTCCCTCCTTTCCTTCCTTCCTTCCTTCCTTCCTTTTCTGTCATCACAGTAAAGTATACTTTCTCACTTTTCATTTTTTAGTTGTATATAGTCTAAAAATAATGATCATTGTTTATATGTGGTAACTTGGCTTTTTATTTAAAAAAACAAGGCATAAAAAAGTCAAAGGGAGGTTTATGGTTGTAGCTCAGTGGTAGAGCACTTGCCTAGCATGTGTGAGGCACTGGATTCACTTTTAAATAAATGAACAAACAAGCAGACAAATAATAAATAAATAAATAAATGGATAAATGAATAAATAAATAAATAAAGTTTCATCCATCAGCAACTAAAAATATATATTTAAAAAAATAAAGTCAAAGGGAAATATATGAAGATTATAATGGTTGACTTTTAAGTGTCCATTGACTTCTAAAAGAATTTTTTTTGAGAGAGAGAGAATTTTAATATTTATTTATTTTTTTTAGTTTTCAGTGGACACATCTTTCTTTGTATGTGGTGCTGAGGATCGAACCCGGGGCGCACGCATGCCAGGCGAACGCGCTACCGCTTGAGCCACATCCCCACCCCTTCTAAAAGAATTTAAATTGACTAATGATGTCCTATGTACCCCAACCATTTTCTGAGCTTTTTAAGTACTTAAACTTTTTAATTATAAGAGTGATTGGTTTGGACTGAAAAATCAGATATAGTTTTTTTGTTTAACCAGTGGTGTGAATTTAAAAAAAAAAAAATCGTTGTAAATTGCTTCTTTCAAAATTTGATATTCTCAACTGTTTTTTTAGTTTTTCAACTGTTTTTATAATCATGCACGCGCACGCACGCGCGCGCACACACACACACCGTCCAAACTGATTTGTCATTACTTTTACTTTACAGGAAACATCTAGAACTGTTTCAGGCAGATATAAAAGGTAAGAATCCTTATGTTTTAACTTATATTGTATAATGAGTGTGATGTCTGTCTGACAGTGACCTAACCAAGTAGAACTGTTCAAGGCAACTCTTTGAAAAGTAAGAAACTTTAACATTGTGCTCTTAGAAAGAAATTACATTATAGGCAGGAGTTTGATGTCTTACCATGATTCTGTTGTATCTTGTAGTTTTTGAAAACTGCCTCCCCCTGAATTTGCATGGGTCCAGTGAACTTTGCAAATAATAACTTTAAAATGGCTTACAAGTAGACCAGTAAAATAATCAAAAGACTGGGTATGTAGCTCTGTGGTAGAGTGCTAACTGGATTCAATCTCAGTATCATAAGAAAAAAGGAAAAAACCCACAAAATCTAGAATCTGATTTTATATCTGAAATTAGTATCAAAATCTAGTATCTGAAATTATCCATTCTTAAATCTGATAGGAATGTGTTATACCTTATATCAATAATTCATTTCTTTTATCAACCTATCAGCAAGTTGTAGCAATGACTAGAATATGCATGTTTCTTAATAAGGGTATCTGTTGACAGATGGAGATGGTTAATAGGTTGAAAGATAAAACTTTGATATCATATGATAGAAAAAATAGCATACATTGTGTAAATGTATGTAAGTACACACACTAACAGGTGGAAATAACTCAGAAGCCTTTAGAGGAGTCAAGTAACCACAGAACTAGTTTTATGTGCATATATGTGTGTGTGCGCATGCATTATTTTGGCACTGGGGATTGGTGATTGAACCCAGGGGCAATTAACCACTGAGCCACATCCCCATCCGTTTTTTGTTTTTTATTTTGAGACAGGGTCTGACAGAGTTGCTGAGGCTGGTCTGAAATTTGTAATCCTCTTGCCTCAGCCTCCTGAGCTTCTGGAATTAACAGGCACTGCACCCATCTTTAAATATATTCTTACAAATTACTAATTAAGTATTTAATTCCTGTATCAAAAATGTCAAGAATGTACTTTTTTTGTTTGTTTTAAGCACTGAGTCTGTTAAACATTCAAACTAGTTCTTATATTTTAAAATGGAATCAATTCTTGTCAAGAGCTTTTCAGTTCTCATTTGATTCTAAATTTGTTTCATAGGAAATTGATTAGAACCTTTTTAATTTTGGAAAATGAATTATTTATTTAGAAAAAATTTTATGCAAGATTTAAAGTGTTGCAATACAACTATGTTAACTTTTTTTTCTAAATGGAACTTTCTTATACCATTGTTTTAAAACCAGTAGTTCTTATTTGATTACACATGTGTTTTGAGAACCATGCAATAGCAAGAAATATCCTTGATTTGTTGGCCAATGATCAAACTAGAAAAACTTGTCAAATTCTTTAAAAAGTGAGAAATCCAGACTAAGAAGTATCAAATGTGTCTGTATTACATATATTGTATATTTTGCCAGGCCTCCAATATCTATAGCTCTTTTGGTTAATGAATTTTTCAAAAGAACATGAAAACCACAAAGTGGTACTTTAAAGTGAATTGGCATATTGGTGCAGTTTATGGACTGAATTTTTCCCTGGTGGATTTGTGAATTTATCTGTTGTAAATATTCTTAGCTAAGATTTTTTTATAATATTTACTATTTACCAGTTACTGTTCCTTTTTACATACATTCATTCCCCAATAGTATTATGAGGAAAGTGATTATATTATCACCATTTTACAAAGAAGGAAACTGAGGCACAGTGAAGTTTAATGATTTGTGTGAGATTAAACATATTAATTGGCAGATTTTGTCAACATATATTTCTTTACCTCATTGTAGTATCAGTTTGCCTAGTATGGGTAAGAATGGGGTATTGTGGAAGTTTGATATAGCTTATTTAGTCTCTAAGTCTTTGGAAGATTCCAATAGCTAGAATTTTTTGTTTAATATAAGCTTGAAAAAAAATTTTTCCCCAGTGACTACTGCATATATGATCCTGGATTTCCCAGTCTACCCAGCTCTCTTTGTTAAGATAACTTTTGTTCTTAATTATAATCTTGAGGTATTAGAAGTTCTGAAGTATCTATATAATTATGAAAGAGAAACTATGCACTAATGTTTGGCATAATTTTACTTTCTTTTTTGTGTTAGGGATTTAACTCAGCCCTTGCATAGCTTAGTAGGAGCTGTACCATCCCCTTCCCCATAATTTTATTAAATGCATTTTATATGTTTTATTTCTTGGTAAATTAACCACTAAAGCTGAAAATACTGTTGTCATTTTATTATTTTTTAAAAAGTCTCATTAAAATGTAATTTAAGTACCATAAAAAATCGCCCTTTTAAGGTGTATAATTCACCAATTTTTAGTATATTCCCAGTTTTTAAAAACATAATATTTTTTAGTTTTAGGTGGACACAATCTCTTTATTTTTATTTTTATGTGGTGCTGAGGATCGAACTCCGTGCCTTGCACATGCCAGGCGAGCACGCTACCACTTGAGCCACACCCTCAGCCCTATATTCCCGGTTTTATAGAGGTATCACTACTCTCTGGTTCCAGGGTTTGTTTCCCTTCCTAAAAGGAAGGTCCTACCCATTAAGTACTCAATCTCCATTTTGCTCTTCCTATATCTCCTAGCAGTCAGTTATTTGTTTTCTGTATATAGGAGAGATTTCATATAAATATAAACACATAATAGGTGGCCTTTTATGTCTGTCTTTTTTCAGTTAGTATGTTCTTAGGATGTATATCATAATCATATCATATCACCATGTGTGAATATACCACATTTAATTTAGCCATTTATTAGTTGATGGTTGGTATAACAAAATATTATATACATTGTATAATTTGATATAAAAGTTCATGTACAATTTTTGTGTAATCTTTTATTCTTATAACAGAAATTTTTTATATTGTTTTGTTGAAGCCCCCCCGCCAAAAAAAGAAAAACATAATAAACATTATATGTCATTATTGATTCATTCAGAATCAGTGCTAGTTGTTTGGGAGACTCATGTTAAGATGAGGAGTATACAGTTTTTGCTGTTCTTACTGAATATTGTGAACTACATTTGAAAAAAAATGTTTTCTGGATATGTTTTGTCTAGTTCTCAAGTGGTAATATTTGAATACTCAGGTGTATTTAATGAAAAAAAATTAAATATAGTGAATATATTATATATTTAATAGCTATATATTCTACTATATTCTTTATATAATAATGTAAATGTATTTACTTTTAGAAACCAGAAATAAGGATGTATAATGATATCCTATAACTGGGGGGGTGTACTGAGGACTAAACCCAGGGTCGCTTTACCACTGAGCTACACCCGTATCCCTTTTTAATTTTATTTTGAGAGAGGGTCTCATTACATTGGCCTGGACTGGCCTCAAAATTGAGATCCTCCTGCCTTAGTCTCCCAAATCACTGGGATTATAGGCATACACCACCATTCCCAGCTGGAACAACTATATTTTTAACAGTGAGATAGGTTATAAGCTATTACATTCATGTAAACAATACAATGTAGCCATTAAGATACTATAGATGGAGCCGGGCATGGTGGTGCACACCTGTAATCCCAGTGGCTCAGGAGGCTGAGACAGGAGAATCACGAGCTCAAAGGCAACCTCAACAACAGCAAGGCACTAAGCAACTCAGTGAGAACCTGTCTCTAAATAAAAATACAAAATAGGGCTGGAGATGTGGCCTGGCCTAATGGTCGAGTGCCTCCTGAGTTCAATCCCCAGTACCAAAAAACCAAGATGCTATAGATGGACTAAAGTTGTCTCAGTGGTAGAGCTCCTGCCTGGCACATGTGAGGCATTTGGTTCGATCCTCATTACTACATAAAATCAAAATGAGTAAATAAAATAAAGATCTATATAAAAAGATGCTATAGGAAAAAAAATGAAACGTAGGAAAATTATTACCAATTTATGTTAAATGGGGAAGGACCGATAGAGCATAAGACTACAACAAAACAAAATTTATCAAGTATTCTTAATCTGAGATCTGTTGATGTCGTGAGCTGTTAAAATTGTGTGTAAAAAGATATTGCTTATTTTTCTGAGAAAAAAAAAAGCTGTTTTTTTTTTCATCATATTGTTAAGGGGTCTGTGATCCAGAATGAAAACTTAATGTTGTAAAATGTTAATAGTAGTTATCTCTGGGTTGATGGGATTGCCGAAATATTAATTTTTATTTTTTAAGTGAATATATATCAACATTTTAATAAAGAGTCTAAGAGTTGATTTTGATTGTTAGTTGTTGGAATGTTCGTATTTTAAGGAAGAAAGGAGAGAAACCTATAAAGAGCATAGGGCTGTTTTGAGGTGTGGGAGTAGTGGTAGGAGAGCACAGGTTAGTGAAAGACACTAAAAATACAGAAACCAATCATGTACTTATTGGTTATATAGGTATTTTGTGATATATCCAAATACTTCTGGATATTTAATATCCAATCTAAAAGTAGATTTTTACCCATGAGTCTTATAATCATTAAGCTTTAAAATGTCTATATTCGTGGAAAATTCCTCTAGCTATAATCTCTTGATGCTGCCAATCTCATTCTCATGATAGTTTTAGAATAACAGTGCTATTTCTATGACACCCTCTCATCTTTCCACAAAAGATGAGAAAATTCCCAGAAGGGGAAAAACTTCCAATAAAGGGTGATATTTATCTCTGATGATACTGTATATTCGTTTCCCTTTTCTGAACATTATGGTTAATATCTTTGTAGCTAAGAGCAAATGGAGGATTCCTTTTGGATCTTATTAGTTAGAGATTTTTGTTAACATTCCTAAGTAGAACACTACAAACTTTTTGGAGTTAATGAAACAATCTTTTATTGTAAGTATTTTCCATTGTGCATATCTGGCCTACAAAATAGGTTAAAAATGCTCTGTTTTTAGGATAAGCAGCTAAATTTGGCAGTAAAATCAAGTAACACAGTTCTTCATAATTATGACAGTATTCCTTTCAAACCTAATATGTACTGGGGATACAAAACACTGATTTTATTTTCAGTAA